TTTTTTATTATTATATGGAATAAGTCCTCGGCTGCTACGGCCATTGCAAATAAATTACAATTTTGAAACAATACAATACATTTAATTTATATTAAATTAAATGTATAAAAGTACAGGGTATTTAATTATAATAGTTAAGTTATATAAAATAAATGAAATAATACAAACTAACATAAAGAAGTAACAATAATATATACATAATTTTATGAAGTATAGTAGATGGGGGTATGTAAAGCTAATTACAATAGATTTAACTGCTGTATTGCCGAAAAAAATTGGCAAAGCTTGGTGATGTTGGAAGGTGATCTGATATTTACATCCTTCCCTCTCCAAGCTATACACATTTTCATCTTTCTTCATGAGGTATGAGTGGGTGAGACGAGTGTGCCCAATTCTGRGGTGATWTATAGAAAACTTGTATTTACGCGTGGTATTGATGGGTTAAGTCTAAGGACGTATTGTTCTTTTTATTTCATTGAATTTGGTATTTATTTTGAGCCATCTGCTCTCTCATAGATGGAGTGTACCCATTTTTATGACATTTTTTATATYAGAATAGCAGAAGAGAGGTGAGATATGTGAACCAGAAGAGGAATAAGCTAGTTTGGCGACCTTTTCGGCGCGTCCGTTGTCCTCAATGTTCCAGTGACCAGGGATCCATGAATATTATATGTTTTTGCAATGAAGCTGGCGTTCTGGATTTTTCTGGCATGTCAGAAGGATTGTGATGATTTAGTAGGCTGGTGAGTGTAGATAGTGAATCGATGTGTATTGTGATTTAATTTTGCGAGGTCGATTTTCGATACCATGTATTAAATGGCTTTAAGAATAACTAGGGTTTCGGCTGTACATTTTTCTAACAGTATCCATTGGATTTGGATATCTTCGTGGATGATGTCCATACCGACTTGACCTCCTGATTTGGATGCGTCTGTGTATAAATGTGTAAAGGTTTGTGTAAGGGAGAGATTTCCCATGAATTTCAAGTATTTACAATGATTCGTTTTTGAGTTACAGCAAAATAAAATAATCGATTTTGTCGAAAACTAATTATGCGTAAAAATTCCCGTTTTTCGTTTATGGTTTATGGTTTTTCATGACGCTTTTGAAAACTACTAGAATTTTTTTGGTTTTTAACCCCCTCTCCCCCCTTCCCACCGCAAAGTACAACTAGATAAATTTTTCTTTTCAAAGAGGGGCTGAAGTAAAAAATCAAAGCATTATTTCTACTCCAAAATGTGATGATATAGATACACAAAAAAAAATTAATAAAAAAAAAAATACATCATTGTTAAATCAATAATACATTCCTTACTTAGTTCAAAATCTAAAATGTAAATAGAAAACAAACTAAGCGAAAACATTTTTAGTATTCAACGTTACCAAACAATTATTTTTTTAATAATATTAAACATTTAATAAAATATGATCATATTATTTTCATTATTTTTATCTATTTTTTTTAAAACATGC